ATAACACTATCGTTTCTTAAGCTATATTTATTGTTTTATCTTGCCAGTTAGACATTTACTATGTTGTAATGAATTGAGTCATTTGCTTATAGTCTGACAAACTGTCTAACATGATAATACTGTCTAACATGTTACTATTTTATGCGTTGCGTGGAACTGAAGTCCCAAAAGTAAGATTTTTTTTTTTTGTTGAAGTGAATATCATAAGATCGCATAAGGTGGGCACTGGAGGTATAAGACATGTCTTTCTGAAATAGATTGAGTTTAAAAACTCAAACTGAGATTAATAACGGATTACGCGGTAATAATGGACGCTTTCTACATATAACTACAATAAAATACACAAAAGGGACTGTCGTCGGAAGCATGCAGTATTTCCCCACCACATTCACAGCACGCATAAACATAGCAACAACAATAATATACAATCCGCATGAATACAAGCATTTATTAGCTCCAATTTGGACAAGGAACAGCTAACTAGATGCCATTATATTCAACCCCACGTGTGAATAGCAAAAATGGGAGTGCAAAAACAGCTCTTGTGAGGATAGAAATAAAAGCGTTTATATTGGATGGGTACATAAGACTATGTGTAATATCATGCTTAAGTAAGACGTTGAATGAGGCGAGAATTGCATGATAGCACTATTGTCTGCAGGTATCAACTGGACAGTTAAAATAACGTGTTCATTGTCTATGCTATGAGTCCGTGCTTATTATATTTGACGTGCGACAGTGACAATTAAAGTACCAAGGGCACTGTAAACGGGTCATAACATACTGATATTTTACTATTTGTAAATGTTATATTGATTTATTGTAGTGTAGACTAGAATTGAATGTCTTATTTTATATAATGGATAGGTTTTTAGAATCCTTAATTTCTGACTAACCTAAGCTTGGGTAATAATATTATATATGTACTTTTGAATAGAAGTAATAAGTGAGTGAGACGAATGAATAGACGAGAAACAGGAACATTTAAATAATGTAGGTCATAAATAAATTGCCCGCTTCGCTTAATTTTAGACACAGCGACCAATTTCATGTAGACAATTTCATATCGCAAGATCACGTTTACCGCATACACGTTTGCGTTTTATGGCAATTTTAGTGTTCATAAAATAATACAATTAATTTATCCAAGACTTGTCCTTATGCGACTAAGTGGTACAGACATTTCTTGTTTCAATTAGGATCAAAATCAAGACTTGTAATACTAAAATTTAAAGAAACAAGGAACAAGGACATTTAAGTTCACAAATATTTAAAAATGCACAAGAAACCAAGGTTAATATTGACAAACCTTCGCTTAAAAACACATTTTTAAATAATTTTCTACAAATTCTACTAAGTTGTAGGAATGTTGACCGATTTTGATTGATACCAAAATGTTGCTTTTACTCGTATTTCCGACAAGATAAATCTAGATATAAGATAAGCAAGCCCATTCAATTCGTCGTATCTCGGTTAACCCAAATATTTGCAGATTGGAAGATAGGGCAAACGATACAGGTACCTTTAAAAATTTTATTATTTCGACCATAACTTGTACTTTCTTTTGATACCAAAATAAACAGATGACCCAAATTAAAGTGAATAAGACTTCAGTGCGTAGCTAATTTTTGCTACAATTTCGACTAAATCTAATACGTTCAGAGAAATCTTTGAAGGCTCCAGAAATATCTGATAGTTCGCAAATATCTTTAGATCCAATGAATCATGTGTATTTCTATACTAAAATATAGGACGAAATCAAACTTGACGATGACTGCATCGTGGAAGCCGATTTGGCCGACCTGCCAATAGCAGTTGATGGATTAAATGAATTCTTGAGTCAAAATTACTCAGAAGATAGAATGGTGATCTCCAAACTGAGATCCGGGTTAATTCCCAATTCTAACACGTGTAAAGTTCTGTTTTGAGAAATGATGTGGTGCAAATCATATGTCCATAACAACAGCCAAAATTACAATCCCAATCATGCTAAGAATGTAATTGCATCTTCAGATTTGGCAAGCGATAAAAGGGAAAAGTGTAATGCTCAGAATTATTAATTGGACGAGAAATAATTTCTATAAGTCGACACTGCCAAAAATAGTTATATAAAATGTTAATAGAAGTCCCATTTGTTCAAACATTTTCGGCGACACTTTCTTAACTTGCCGTTTCAATCAATATGTATTTCTAAGTCGGGAGTCAGACTCAAATGTTATTTACCGAAATGGAAATTTGACCTTTTCCAATCTGTCCAGAACTTTAATAGATTATTTTATTCAGTTTCACTTCACAAATTCGAAAATGCTAAAGTGAAGAGCAGAGAACGGCTACAACACTTATTATATAGGACATGTGCAATCTTGTAAAGTGCGTCATAAACAATGGACGGCATCTGCACACTTTACTGAGATATTTAACTCTTTCTTATAAATAATTTGTTTTGAAACTAGCTTGGTAGCAAATATGGCTAAGTAAAAAGTTTTAATGGCTGTTTACAACAAATAAAAGCTTCAGATCCAAGTTTCAGTGAATTGCGACAAGTTTTATTTCTTATGCGCAAAAACTTAGGTCGATGCCTCACTCCAATAATTAGACGTTCCTTAATTACAGCCTGTGACGTTTGAGGAAGTTGTAATAGGACTTTTTTTAATTACCGTGAAAATGGAGACTTTGCGAATTGCTAAAGTAGGTCACAGAGCGTTTTCTTCGAATCGACTTTAAAATATTTTCTTACGGAATATTTCATACCTTGATTTACGCCAAATTTTCTTGATGTCGACACATTTTTTCCAATCACCAACACGACAACTGTATACTTTTTTGATCAACGCACCTACATCTTCTTTTGTTTCCGCTTTATTTTTTTATCACAAGATTTTTTGCAGTACACCAATATTGCAACGATGGATATAATTATTAAATTTTCGGTTTTACATAACTGAGAAAGTGTACGCATTGTTTGTTTTTTTTACAAAATACTGGGAATACATTGATGGCTTCTGCAAAGTGGATAAGAGACGTTGCTTCTATAATCCATTTACGAATAAGGCTGTTACGATGAAGGTAATACCCTAAAGCAAACTAAAGCATTTAATTGAAGGACTTGATCCAATGTCGAATTAATTACTTTTCGTGATCCAACAAGAGTTTTTTTTAAGTTTTAATAACTCGGGATTTAGTTACAAAAACAAAGTTATGTAAAATTAACATTCAACTTTGATACTTCATTAAAATCAAGAAACACGATATCGCTTAAAAAGAAGAATAATGGAGCAGGAAATGCTATCAGCAGGGCTTGAAATTTTTGATTGTGACATAGAAAAAACTTACACTTTAAAGTTTTGGTTGATGCCTGTAACTTTGGTATCTATATATTACTTTAGATCAATTTCCAAAAATAAAAAAAAAAACTTGAATGAAAATTTATTCGTAATTTTAACTGTCAGAAAACAGTCTAACTGGTTATCTTAACCCTTTCGAAAATGTTCGTTATTAACTTTCATGTATGAGAAGGTTCCAAGTTTTTAGAATAAGTTTACAACTCTCAATTCTACTAAATAAGCAATTCGGCTTTTAAATGGACTGAAATATTTTAATGGCTTCCTTCAAATATATTTCAATTCCATATATTATAAAGGCTTTACAAAATCGATAATCCCGTAATCCCATATGAGCAATATCCGATCCGATCCTATCCTTTATTAAATTTTCAGACTCGATCGATGATGTTTTATTTTTGTGTTTCGAACCGTCTGAAGGGATCGGAGGGTCCAAGGGCGTATTTAGGTCATTGGGAGACGCAACTAGGTTTATGGGTTAGCTAAACAGGGGTGTAAATTCAATGAACTACGATTTTGTTAGGGTTAATTAACAATAATTCAACTGGGGGTATGAGTTCCGAGTACTTCTGCAAGGAATTTTGTTAGTGAAAGAATTAGAAATATAAATTAAGTTAATAAATTAAACTGTTGAGATGGGGTGTGGTTTATGGAGGTATTTGAAGGGCTTTTATACAAAATTACTTTATAGTTAATACTAACTTGAAATCTATTTCGTAAATCCGTTTCAAAGCTTCATTGCCGAATAAAATATTAGTGCATCAGACACAAATATTGTGTAAAGTTTAAACGCAACCAACGTACTACTGGGCCACGTATTCCTGTCACAATGTAAAACAATATTTCAGTTTAAGAATAACATGGAGGTGAATTGTAAACATTTTACGTGCATGCATAGAATAGTCATAAGCTAAAATATTTACTGAGTTCTTTAACACTACAAAAAAATTGTTTTAAACAAGAATATTCTGTAAAATTGAAAAAATTGCTTTCCCAAAAAAGGCAACATATAAACAGTATTTTGTCAAATGTTGCCTTTCAAAAACCTCATTTACAAAAACGACGCGATGCGCTGCGCGTCTTGCGATTTCTCATACATTACTCTTGATGTTGGCGTTTGCACGAGCTATGGCACGGCCTGCGGCTGAAATGTACGATAGACTGCCCGACGCGCCACTCTCCGTAAACGAAGCCTAAGCGTGTAGGAAACGTCTGATAACAAAATGGCACGTCTATTCAGTCCCTTTTCAAAATGACAGCCTGTTGTCACTACTCATGTCTTCCGCCTTTTGTAGGACGCTGAAGAGGCAGTACCTACTTGTATAAAACGGTATCGATATTGCTACGTTACGAGATTGAAAATTCACATGAGATGGGTATGACAAAAGAAAAAACAGTGAAAATGATTCGAACGTTTAAACTGAATGTAAAGATTTTTTGTATCAAAGAATAGGTTTGACTAACTTAATACTTATGTTAAATCCTCCAAGTTTTATGTCTGAAAACCGATTATATTTTCAAACTAACTACAAAAAAATATAAATATACCTAAACGCAATATGGTGTAAAAAGCTCAGAAATAAATTCCATCTTCAAAAAGGTCACACGTGTATTCAGAGATAACCAAGCCTAAGAACCGTTAAACAAAAAAAGACTCACCTTCGAAAATATTCTGGATGATGAGGTAGCTCTGGGTGACGACGATGAGCAAAGCCACGTGTGTCCAGGCGAAGAGACTGAACTGTCTCATGTAGTACCTCTTGACGAGAGACAGCACGAACCAGACGAAACCCACGCAGTAGAGACTGAACGAGATGAAGCGATGGTACGTCACCAAGAACTTCAGATAGTCCTGTGGAAGAATCCAGAAGATAGAAAAGTTTTAAAAAAAGTTTATGACAGATATAAGAATCTGTTTTTTATAATTACCGAATGAACATAATGGCGCCGTAGCTTGGCAAAACCGTTTTTCTGCATCAGCATAAATCTTACTAATATTATTAATTCAAAAGTATTGATGTTTGCATGTTTGTTACTCAATCACTCTTAAACGGTCGGACGGATCTGGATGAAATTTGGCACAGGCATAGGATACACTCCTGAATCGAACATATGCTACTTTTTATTACGGAATCTAGTATTTTATGTGATGCATAATTTTTGTTTCTAGGATTCTAGGTATATATGGTGTATGTGTTTGTAAAATTCACCCATAGTACCTACAGAAAAATATCTTACTGTGGGGCAACGACAAAATAATGTGACTAAACACGAGTACAGCAAAAATTGCGTTATGGTGATAAATAAAAAGTGAAAATAATGGTGTAAATTATATCGAAAGTAAAACGATACTTTGATTGACAGATAGACAACAGCGATTATACTTTTTGTACGAGACCTGAATATATTATGAACGCAAAGTGAGCAAAAATGTAAGTTATTCACATCAATAATTCAACGAGATCTCGTAATACAAAGGCGTCAAAACATTGGATCATAATTTTATTTATTCCATGCCATTCACTGTCTTATAAAAAAATACGATGAAAATTGATAAGGTCTAAAATAAGACCTTACATTAAGTGGAGGATTTCCAGAAATGTGTTAGCCTACCAAAATAAAAGTAAATTTGCTGCAAATGGCAACACCAGAAGTTTTACAATGGTATTGCCAGAAATTTAAACACTTATCCATTTAAGTTTTTTTTTATATTTTAGAAACTACGTGACAGTTACCCCTATACGCAAAATACCCTGAATCAGATACAAAGTAATTAAGATTTCAAATGGTTCTGATCATTTTCTAAGGTATGCTGGCTTGACTAAAAAGCATACGGCTTATAGCTACTTCATTTACTATTAGAAGATTTCATTCCTTGGCAAAACTCCAAATATTATGTAGGCAACTACACTGCGACAAAAAAGGGCATAAAATATTACAGCAACACTACGGTCGAAGAATCAACCTAATTAGTTATCAACTTGTAAACGACCAGATTCTACCAAATGTATTACCAATCCAATTTGTCTATTTCCTTGATCAAGTAATCGTTACAAAACGTTCTTATTGGTGGAAACTAATGAATGTCTGAGTAATTCGTAACAATGAGGTCAATCAGTTAATTTAATTGGTTGGTTAATCCGATAAGGCAATTGGTTTTGGTACACATTTGTATATGCATAAAAATTAATCCTAACTTCCTTTGTTCATTCATCATGCGTGAACAGCAAAGACGGTTCTAATAACCATTTTTATGCCGTATCACCACGACCATGAAAAATATAATAGTTTTTATAAAAAAAAATAGAAACTAGGTAATTGGACATCGGTCGGTCGGGGATTGTATTTCATAAGCTATAAAGGCGATGTCAAATATATTTTACAGTGCCATCACGCCGCCCGTTACTGTCGCATATCAATTTGGAGCCTATTAAGGTTATTAGACTTGTTACTAAGCAACTACCACGAAGCTTGTAGCGTAGACGTGTTACATCGATATACAGCAATCTAATTTCTTTTAATTTTGTTTAACTAGACTATTTGATTTTACTATCTTAGACTATGTAGCACAATTCACCGATGAAATTGCGGGAAATTGAACAAATGTGGACCTTTTATTTTTTTTAGACTCAATATCATCCAATATCTTCTCCCGCACTGAGGGGCGAGAGGAATGTCAAACTCTTACTGAGTAGAACTTAAAAGAACTTGTTATATACTAGGTTATATTAAGTGACTGTAATGTGACTTGAGACCAGGGCTGTCTTAGTCAGAGTTGAGTTGCGTGGCAAGAGCGATAAGGTAGTAAGGTACCGCGGCCTCGGCCTAGAGCAGAAGGAACAGGGGAGTTTTTAGTCAGTAAGAGTCTGACACTGCCTCTAGCTACACCCCAGTTACGAATAAAAATACATTCGATAATTTTCCATACTCAAAAAAAGACCTGGACTGTCTTTTTTTCATTTATTGATTGTTGTGTCTTAGTAGTCTTAGCTAAAAGATTGAGGAGCTTATTATCTGGTTATTCAGAAGGATTAATAAGTCTCGTCTCGTTTTGATATTTGGTCTCAATTTACCTATAATAATCACTGTGGTAGACGTATTATTAGGTATTAGTTTTATGGATTTACATGCCCAGACGCTGACGTATCAGAATAGACGTAGGTACCTACCTAAATACGGCAACAAAATGACCATTTTCAGAAAAATATTTATAACTACATAGATAATAATATATAAACCAAGGCCAATAACACAATCTCGGTCATTCAATCAAACGCTTATCATAATGACGTAGAGGCGTTCAAATCACGCGTCGGACGTTGATGAAAGATAGATAGCGCGGGTAAACACTGAATCATTTTTGTATTTTCGTATGACCAACGTCCATTTGTGGTCTCACGACACGACTAAAATTTAAGTTTGTATGTAGAGTGTAATCCTTGAAAGCGCTGGTCGGATTTCCAAAATTCTTTCACTGATGAGCTGCAATGAGCATGTTTGCTATAGGCTATAAATTATATATAAATTTGCCTATTTTAGTCGACAGCTGCCTTAAAAGCTGATGTTTGTAAAATTCTGTGATACATTAATTTTAAACGCGTGGGAAGCCTCGGCGAAAGCTTGTGAAAAATAAAGGTAACGTGACAGACGATTCGTGATTGTTCCTATGCTTTTCAAATTATCCTGTACACTTTTCACAAAAAAGATAGGTCCCATAGTGACTCAAAATAGACTTCAGTCACAGTCTGAACTAAACTTTAAAACAGGTCCAATGGTCAAATGACAAATACTAACTTATATTTTTCTGAGTGATTTTAATAGTTAACCTAACAACAACAATTCGGACGTCATTTAATACTATACTTCATACCTCTATTTTCTCCTATTAACATGTAAACAAGAACTACGAACCGTGATACGAAATAATCTTATCATTATCAGCTGATCGTACGATTAATGACTGGCAAGAAAGGTTGATAGTTATTCGCATAAATTACTTCAACAGATAAGATTTAGCTAGATGATGCAATCGATTATACCTAATAAGGTAATCGTTTATTAGAAATAACGAATCGATCACGTGAAAGCTTTTCCCTGTTGGAGAAAAGATCGACCTGTTTCAAGTCACAACGGGACTCTTATTAATGAGCGGCGAGCGAGAAGTCGCCGCGATCACGATATTCAAAAAGGCTACTCGTTTATTCGAAGTTTTTCAAACAAGTTGTACTATCGCATTTATTCTTAAACAATACGGTAGTTTCCAACTAGTCAAATTCAATACTTTTATCCTTATTACAAAAACGATACTTTTGTATGAAACACTGAGTTATGACGTCTTAGTATTTTTGCGTCAAATAGCTTACTTATTTCGTAATAATTACCTACAAAATATCTAAAACTTAGTGTATCGATCGATCGATGAATAAAAGTATAATTATTTTTCAATGTTTTATTGTATTGGAACGTCGAATAAATTTATTTTTGACCTAGGAATCTACACAATTGAACTAACCAAGCCTAAGTTGTTTTGCAGAAAATCCTTTATATGAATAAAACCTCTTTTGATTATTTCGTACCAAAAACAGCGTTTTACACTATCGATTCTGGGTGTCATACGTAAAAGTATTCTTTGGGCATGTATCAGCACCACTTTCATATAAGTACCTACCCGATAAAGTTAAGTGAGACATAGTTCACACAAATTACTGTCAATACTGTAATTTAATTAGTATATAGCGGCAATCCAAAGTTTGTAAAACAGGCCTTTAGAAGGTTACACATACATATTGACACTCATGATATTTTAAATGTGTTTTTATTAAGGGTTTGTTCATCTCCGATTAGACTAGCCTATTATGATATTAGTTCAACCTGAAGACTTGCTTAACCTGTAAACCTTTTGAGCTATTTAAAGGAAAATAACTAACATAAAAGAACGGAAATATGATTACTTTAGAAGTTCAATTCCATTACCTAAGTTCAATGAATAACTATTAACATAGTGTATCGTTCAATGAACTCGTAAATTGAGTTTGAATATAGACCTTAAACTAAAGGAATACGTTTCACAGATTTCGATAGGGATAGATAGAAATAAATGTCAGCCAGCATGTCATGCGAAATGTCATGAACGACATAATTACGTAAACGGATTTGCACTACAATGAATTCTATTTCCATTTCTCATCTAAAATGCGGATTCGTAGATGCGGAAAACAGGGAATCAGATTCAGACGGTATAAGTACGTACGTTTATGTACACCAACGTAAATATTGAAGGAAGAAATTAAATGTTGATTTACACAATACCATTTCTTGAAGAAATACGAGCAATAATTATATAATACATTATACCATACGTATTGTTTAGTTAGACCATGCAATTCAATAATTGCTCTAAATTGTAGGTAGGTATGCAAAAGGCAAGAACTAGCTTGAGGCTTAATATTTTCTTATGTAGATACGCTTTCATATATTTTTATTAAATATTGTTTTAAGTTTTAACTTCAAACATCAGATTATTTGAAAGAATGACTATTTTTGTCTAACGCCGATGGCCTTGAAAGCGCCTTTATTGTAATAGAATTAGAGGTCATTTTTGTAGTACTAATGCCACTGCTATTAATTGTATAAACACTACTAAGTATTGTTGGCTGTCATAGTGATTATCAAAACAATTTAAGTTCAGAAAACCAACCTTAAACATGAATTTTCTTCTATTATACTTAGGCAAATTTACGACCCGAATTTTTGTTTTAAAAAATGGTGCCCCACACTGCAAACCCACAATTTTACAAACACATCATACACAGACCTGGAAAAGCCGTACACGTTGCACAGCAGATCGCCCAGCCACTTGGTCAACCATGGAGTCAAATTAACACGATTATTTTTACTTATTATTATGCAGTAAAATCTATTTACCGTCCTATTAATGACGACTCCAAAGTAATCAATGAGGTTCTCTCCGTAGAAGAAGTAGTTGGAAGTCAGTAGGAAATACCAGGACAGGGATCTGAACCATGGCAGACCGTGGACGCGGTACACCGCATACCCAATGTTGATGATCTCTTCGAAACATTTCACTTGGACGCATAGTACCTGGTAAAGGAAATATGAACATAATGGCATGGTTATAAAGTGTATTTTATTTGAAAAAAATCATATAACCTATTCCTGGTTTGGTAATAATCGCAATATAATGAAACAACGAAACATCACAATTTAGGTGCCACTGTATGTAATAATAATGTTCATGGAAAAGCAAACTGGCATAGATAAAAAATAAATAGGTATATATTTTTTACATTATACAGTTTTTAACCAGAAAGCTTTATTTTTGTTTATAAAATAATCATAACTACATAGATACAGTTATTAAAATGATAATAATTTATTCAGTAATATTTTCGTAAGTTACGAAACGCAAACTAGTATTTTGGAGGTCACGCGGCGCACACGCAGCGGATGCGTTGCCGCATGCAGTAACATGGTCGCGGTCTGTTGACTGTTATTGGTCAAACTTTTGTAGATACAAACATACCACACCTACTACATACATAGCATTTATCGATTATTTTTTTTATATCTAGTTAACTTTTCGTAACCTTTTTAAACATATGTATTTTTAATATGGAACCTACTGGACAACAGTTCAAATTTTTTTTTTCAAATTGCCATTTGAGGCCTAATTTCTATTATTTTTAAGTACTTAAAGAATAATCATTTATTGAGATTAAACTACTTACAATATTGGGAATATTAAGTATTTAGTATTACAGACGAATGAATTAATGAAAGTGTGACTTTTTTATATTTTATTACACAAACAGAAATAACTTATTTTTGACCTGATACCTAACAAGTCAACCAAAATATTTAGATATTAGTGTAAAGAAACCTCTTTTTTTATAATATGTTAGGATGGAATCAGTTTGGTACCTTCATCTATTTTTTACAAATAATTGGAATAATACAAACTTCTAAGATTGGCAGGATAAAATAACTAAACATAAAACATGAAAAATTTGTATGCTTTTTTTATGTTATCTATAAATAAAGAAACCAGTTTATCTCATGCAAAACTACTATGTTTGTAATGTAAATTATTTAACACTAGCAAAGCAGGAAGTTTACTACTGTTTTGTTATTAATTATTCAAATTAATTTAAAAAATAAGAGGAAAATGGAAGTCATGCAATTGGTTCTATGCGAAAAGTAAAACACAATATTTTACTGAAGTGACTAGGACACAAAATTCTCCCTTAAGATTAAATATTTTTTAATGGTAATGATTTAATAACTTCAATATTTGTCTGAATACCCAATATTAATAAAATTACTTTTTCGAAAATAACCAGGAATATCTTAGTATATCTAGTTTTTGAGTTAACTAGTTGTCTCGCAATACTCACCGTAATCATGAGAGCCAGTGGACCTCCGTAGATGAGCAGACAGAACGCCGCAATCATCAACCAGGTGAAAATACCTCGGATAACCCAATTTCTCCATCTAAATAAAAATTAATAATACATAAAATTGCATAGTCTTATTATAATAAACTTCCAAAGACAACAGCAGCCAACATATTATATGTTATATACATATTTCTACAAATCACAAAGCAAACCCTAAGAAAACTATAGGCCTAATTATATCCTATTTTTCCAATTGTAAAAACAATATTGTTAGCTTATCCCTGGAATATCATAAATGGGAAAGTATGAAAAAAAATGAATTGTATGTGGTTAGGTAGATATTTGTTACTCTTTCATGTAAAGTAGGCAGTAATAAAAGTAATTGGCACAAAGGATCTATTAAAATAGACCGGAATACCACTTCTCATCCAGGTAAGTAACAGTTTTTTTTTAAATATTGTTTTATTGGGATTACTATATTATTCTTGTTCTATGTTAATTTGAAAACAAGTTTCAACAATTTACATTTAAATGGTATTGAAAGTAATAATATAGACCTTACTCCACATAGTTTTAAAAACTGGTTTATCTCTCACTATTATATAAAAAAGAATTACTTATATAAGGATTCATTGTGACAACTCTTTGGATAATACCTACTTTTAGTATAGGCAAATCAAAGGGTAGTTTTTGTTTAATTCATCAAAACCAAAATGAAGGGACAAATATCTAGGATATTTATCTATTGTTAATTTAAAAATCAGACCCTAAATATATACTTAAATATCAGACCCTAAATATATACTTAAATAAAACTGTATAAACTTTTATAATATGTGCCACAACAATATTGTTTATTTGGAAACTAAATACCGCTAATCTTCATAATTATTTTTCGTAGATTTCCGATATTTGAATTTGGAAGTTTGCGGCGTCTTACTAATATTTAAGTAAAACTTTCAACGATTGTTATAATTATATGATATCATCCTAATAAGACAACAATACAAGTTCTTCAATTATTTTATAAATAGAATGCAACTGTAGCAAAAAACTGTATTACCTTGAAGATAGTCCCGAAAGCGCAGAGTCAAGGATTTCCGGAGTTTTATCCGTTCCCTGAGGCAAAGACTTGGCCAATTCATCCACATATTTCTCTTCTATATTCTTCTCCTCCTCCGAATCAACCTATTAATTACGCATTACATTATTACTTAAGAATTTTTATTACAAACTGGTTTTATGTGAGAATTAACAATATAATAAAGCACGTACGTGATCAGATTCGCCAGCGTTCTCCAGTTTGTCGTTTCCATCACCTTCCCCGCGCCGATGTCTTAATTCACTCATATCCTTTGTTTATTTTCAAATCGCTTTTCACAAACAACAACTGATTTTACACTATGCACCTCACTACAGCGAATATTTTAATCCATTTAGCCGAGAAAAATAAAGAATCCGAGAATGTTTTCCAGCGACTTGTCAAATGAAAAATCAATAAAGTTTTTTTTTAATTTCAATGTTGCCAGTTTATTAGAATGCCCAAAATGGTAGAAACAATATTTCATATAATTTTTTCACACATACATAGAATAGAATATTTTGTTTTCTACTACTTTTATTTATTTAACATAATATATTAGTATGATTAAATATTTTAAAATGGTATGAAATAACAGCTGTTTTTCATTTTAAAGTGGTGAAATATTTAATTTTGTAGAGTACTCAAGTGAACTGAATATATAACCATAGTAACTTGCATTGAACAATATTATGTTCGTTTAGTGGTAATAATTGAAACAAATCCCTAGGAAAGTTTGAATGACTGTCATGCGCACGTTTTGGCAAAGACATTTACATAGATTTAGATCAGGTCAAAGCTTTATTTAGCGGTATATTATGAAATGACTTAGTCTGTCTTCGGATGCGCAAAACAAAATTTTAATTTCTCTCTGACAAAAACCAGCTTTTCTTTTAATGGCCAAAGCTGGAGCCATGGCAGCATCCGAAGATCAGAGCAAGAGCAGCACTAACACTGCTGGCAGTCATGATTCATGATTGGAACAAACAGTCCTTTTTAGTTCCTTTGTTACTCAGCCAAACTTGATTTCAGGAATTAGCTTGTTACAATTAAAGAAACCTACCTACGCTTTTGTTTCAAGGGAATAGGAATGAAACACATGTCATGACACAGCAATGCAAAACAAACAGATGGGAAATTATAATTGTAAATATTATTTTTATGAGTGAAACATTTATTTATTGGGGAAAAGGCAAAAGTAGTTTTTAAAATACATGTTTCGGCAACTTTCTCACTTAAACGTCAAACTTTCTCATAAACGTAAACATGGCGAGTGATTCAGATGATTTTGATAAAAATATAGAAAATGTAAGTATTTTCTAAAAGATTCAATGTAACGATTGGTTTTAGAAGTATACTAATTTTTTGTGTTATGTTTTCAGTTGAAAAGCAGCGTTAGAGCGTCATTTGCTCGAGTATATGCAACTTTAAAAGCTCGGGAATTAAAAACTTTACGACAATTAGATGCTATAAGTAAACAATGCCAAGACGACAAAGACTTGAAGCGGAATTGTGTTCAAAATATTCATATATGTTTCAATAACGAGTCCACACTATTAGAGAATGTAAGTAATTATGGTGTTATTGATTTTGAGAAACTGAACTTTGATAGTAATACTTTTACACTAGAAGATTATGTAAACCCTGAGGATGACCATATGTACTCTTATAAAACTATTGAGGAGGTGACTAAGGAGGTTGGTGAAAAAGAGGCGGACATAGAGGCTATAGAGGAGGCTGCTTTGAAACAGATAACTGCCACAGAAAACTGTGTATGTTATGTAAATATTAAGTCAGAGGAAGTGTCGAAAAAGTTTAGAAACTTAGAAATTAGTTCATCACCAGTCAAACTATCTGAGAGTGAGACAAACCATAGTAGTTTTGATAACAATGAGATTGAATGTCTGAACTGTCCAGAGAGTATTGTGGAAGATAATGAAAGTGACAGTTCTGATGCAGACGTAAAGAAAATAGATCCGACAGACGATTGGTTGAACTCAATTAAAGGTCAGACTGAAACAGAACCGTCGCAAATAACTGATGTAATGGAACACAGTACTATAGCTTGTTTATAGCAGAACTTAGTAGTGATATTGATATGAATTTACATTTTACGAAGTAGTTAATAAATTTTATATTTTGTATACATTTAGTTTTATTGAGAGAGTTTTTGATATTATATATCTACACACTGCTAAAACGAATGTTTAAGGTCTACAGTTTAGAGAATTATGGATGATTAATAAATTGGAAAGCCCTTGAAAAGTGGGTATTCTTGCCTAATTGTGAATAACTGCTGTATGCATTATAATTGTATTGACTGTGTCATCTTCGGAAAGCAGAAACATATTGTATTTATTCTTTGTCAATATTATTTTTCTCTGTCTAGATCTGCTTTTGATATGGCATGCTGGCATCGGCACTCTAAGCACAATTCTTCATGTTAATTAAATCTTCAATTAATAAACAATTAATACACCTGATAAGCCATCCTAATAATATTTTAAACATGTGATTTGACCATTAACAGTGCTATAGATGCTGATCTTTATTGTTTGATTACATTGATTTTGATACAATCCTATAATTTTACTTTATCTCCTGCACATCACATCTAAGCCACAGACATTTGTGGATCCATGGTTTTTTACTGGCTTATCAGGTTATCGAAACCGCGACAGTTTAGCAACCGCTTGCACGATCAATGCATCAACTGTGCTTAACAATTAATGCATCTTAGTGATATTCACACACCTATTTAGCCTCCACAATTTGTACTTATAACATGGTGCAAAATGGTATTTCCATGCATACTTGTTCTTGTGCTAAGGGAGTATGCACAAATCTGTTCTCAAGGTTCACAACATGTTTAACATGTTTTAGTTGGGAGGAAAAGCAAGGAAAGTGTTCTAATTTCAAAATATAGAAATAAAACGACATTGTTTAAAGCATCATCTTATATTGTTAATAAATTTTTACAAATGGCGTTATTACTGAATTAAACTAATTGCGATATGACTTCAGATTATGTTCCCTATGAATAAATACCCATTGCTTGCATACACAATTATTTAGCAAAATTCTTAGACATGTAATGATCAATCAAATACCGCTTCCCTTTCCATATTTCGCCCGCATTATGTAATACTATGGTTTTATGGCACTTAATACATGACATACATTTTACAAATCATTCCTATAAATTCCCATTGTTGGATGGAATCTGTTGGAGTTAGGTATTCTAGTTTGTACTCGACTTTTTCACTGGAAATATAACTGTGATGGCACGAACAGAAGTGCTGTGGAGGGGGTCATTTTAATACAGGTTATCTAATAGCGTGAGAGCCGTTTATTTACTAAGATAGTGAAACTACAATATGGCTACATTTCAATTACAATTCTATTACAATCGAAATAGGCACTAATTTCCCACGTAATTAGGCAGTTTTAGGCCACTTTTTCACACAGGTGTTACTGTTTTATTGTCTCGATAATTTAAAGTGAGCTACAAACTAAGAATTTTCCGATTATTCATTAACGATTACATTTTATAATGAATACTGTGTTAAATAATTTCTACGTTGATACTTTCGATGATAATAAGTTAGTAAAGACAAACAAAATTTTAATAATAGGGGATACAATGTGTTTAAGAGATAAATTCCATAATAGGGAGTACAAAATCTTAAACGAGTAACATTTTTGAACTTAACGTACGAAGGTATTGCGTATCTAAAGCGTGTTACAATGTAGTTATGAATAAGTTTTACTACTACCTTACATCATACAGTGTTATGCCTACTATTGTACATTTTACAACAAAAAATATATGATAATTGCTATACAAGGCCAAAGTCTGTGCACACAGCGGCGACATCACGATTGTTCTGCTTCTCCGAGTTGTTGGCAGCCATGTTCAACTCGACAAGCGTGTCCACACTATTGATACTGACGCCTTTCAATATCTTTTGCGCTGCTAAACTAGTGAAATTAAAGCTTAAATCGCTTAAACTCGGAAAATTATAGAAATCCTGGTTTTCCTTCTTGCTTTCTTGGCTGAGGCTGTACCTCTTCTGTTTGTTCTCCAAGCAATTCAATTTCTCCACCGACGTGTTTATATCCTTTATCGGCTCTTGGTTTTTCAGTGCTAAGTTCGGCTCGGACCCCAGTACCGTCGGTTTCTGGTCGATAGCTTTCGTTAACATATTTGCTATGGAATCAGAGCTCACCCTATTATTCACATTAGGGAGTCCGTTCAGCATTTGTAATGCTGCTGCCTTTTTTAGCAAATCGACGCTTTTCAGCTCACTATTTGAATTTATATTCGTTTGTATCCCGCTGTTGGCTGAAGACAACGAGTTCTTCTGGTACCTCAAACTTCCCAATGATCCTATAATGTTATCGTAACTTTTAGTTGGCGTTGATGGGATACTATTCGCAGTACTTTCCAAATTATTAATATTATTATGAATGGCTGGAGAAGCGGGATTGGACGCAACTTCATTTGTATTGTTTAGTTGATTTTTGTACACAAAACTATTGTTGTTAGTCGCACCACCGATTTGTAACGAAAGCTTACGATTATTATTCATGCCCGCGTCGTTAATAGAATTCTTATTGAACTTATTTTCTTGAACTTTAACTGGTTCCTCTTGATACATCTGTTTATTCTTTTCTACGCAAACATCAAACGAGGTTTCAGTTGGGTTTTTTGCAGTTTTATTTTGCACTCCGTTCTGTGACACGGACACAACCTGCCTATCGTCGTTGATGATGTAAATATTGCTCCCGTTTGAAGTCTCAGTGACTTTGCCATTTTCGAAAGTAATAACGGACCTTACTGGCGAGTTTTGTACATAAACTTTGGTGTTAGTACCACCACCGTTCTGAGAGATAGTATTTGTGGTAACTTTTAGCGTGATAGAGTTGTTAGAATTGGAGCTGGCCAACATCGTCGTCGACGGGTTTTCTACCTTACTCCCCAAGGTTTTATGTAGCGGGGTTGCGGTTTTTTTGGGTGTGCTTGGACAGTTTTTTGGCGAACTTTTAGGTGAAGTGTTACCGTTTTTTACCGTTTCACCACCGACCATCGGTGGCTTTGTTCTGAATTTGTGCAGGCTCTTTGGTGAGCTCTGTAAGCTCTGTACTTTGACGAGTGACTGTGCTCTGCTAAGGCCGGGGGCTCCGTGTGCGTTACTATGACTAGGCGAAGGCTTTAACGTGCGATCAGATATGTGGGACTCTAAACTCGAATGGCCGCTACTCCCGCTAGTGTTGTAGCCCCTTTTCATTGGAGAGTTTTGGTCTAACTGACCGTTTTTGGCGTCCTTTCTTGGTGTGCGTTGCGTGGTCGTACTTTCTAAACTGGAAGGACCACTAGTTGACATGATGTGGTCTGAATTAGAGTAGTCTACCCTCCTAAGGCTTCCGCTTGGACTGTCTCTTAGTTTGGGATCGCTATTTCTTTGTGGTGACCCGAAATGATCAAGGATGGTTTTGTTTGTGGAACTCCTGCTTAGAGTGGAGCGTGGTAAGCTGCCGGAACTTGGGCTGGAGTGCCTAACGGGCGAGTGGTCATAGTGAGAGCCCGCCAGTCCCGACTCCGTAGAGAGGTGCCGCTTGTGCCGCCTGGGCAGTGTCGACGACCGATTACTGATCTCCGAACCGTCGTAATATGATGAGACGAAAGATGTTTGACTCTGCAATGACTCCTGGAAAACAAAACGTAATAATGAGATAATGATAACATTATGAGTTAATTTTACACGTTTATGTTAACTGTGTTTATCCTTGGCTCTGCACGCGCGTTATTTATTATCGTCCCATGTTTACTTTGTGTAACTAATTGCGTGCCATGCGTACTGATAATAGCGAAACCTTGGAGGACTGTAGGCTGTAACATGGCATTGAAAATAATACATTTTACGCCTAAATCAAATCCGTTATGATACGGGAAGGTTAGACCCTTAGATTCCTTCCTATATCAGGCTATCTACCTTATGTAGGTAGATATTCAATCGATCATACTAAACGGGCAATTTTTATTTCGATATTTGCTTTATCAGTAGTGATATAAGTACCTACATGGAAAGCATTGTTCTGTTGCTTCTACATGTGTCTTCTACAAAACAGTGTATACTATATAATAGTGTATTTTTTATAGTAGGTATTATCTATCATTGAAAGCCGTAACAGTTTATGGAACAGTTGGACTAGAGCATCACGCCCCAGTGTAAGTGAGGTTACCGGAAGCCTAATCCTTCCCTTCCTCCAATACCAAAATCTCAAAATCCCTAATCCCAAAAGGTCGGCAACGCACTCGTAACTCCTCTGTCGTTGCAGGTGTTCATGGGCGACGCTGATTGCTTACCATAAGGTCATGCATTTGCTCGTTTGCCGATCTATGGCATATAAAAAGGCCTCTGCAATATATGTAGGCACTTATACAACAATATTATTTTGTAAAATAATAAAGGTCCGGTACCTTTGAGTTGGTCTGTGTGGCGACGCAATGTAGGTGCACCGCTTTGGAGTTGAACCACTCTGTGGGCGGGAACTGCGCAGAGAAGGTGCTCATCGCACGCGTCTGTTTGCTGCGGCCGCTTCGTCTGAATAAGCGGGACAGCAGGGACACTTTCTCTGAAATTATTAAGGGTATCTTTAAGTTTTTTGAACTTCATTTTTCTTTTGATATGTCTGTCTATAGGATTGTGAAGATGAAGTCGGGAAATAGTGGAAATTATACAGGGCAATCTGTCCTAAGCTGTTACAGTACTTATTTGGTAATATATATGCTCGTATCATGGAGGCTAATAAAGTATAAGTATTTAAGCCTTAGTCAGAAAATTTTCATCAAGGGCATAACGAAGTACAAAGCAACGGAGAACGGAGAAAAAATAACGACTAAGTATGCTAGCACAAAAGAAACAAAATAAACCAGATTTCAAAGCTTTATAGGTACATGCTTTAATAGAAATCATGAAAATATTGATAATATCTAATAGGCGAGTACTTGCCAGGTTTCGAACCCACACTATCAAGTAGTTCAACCATTGGGCCACCGCCTTCTCCGATTTTAGTTTCCTGTAGAACATCTAATTTATTTCGTTAAAA